TTTCATAACAAAGTATCACTCAGGACTGAAACCATGTTTGTTTTATTTGTCATTCCTCTATTGTATTATGTCTATAATTACATGTGTAGATTATACCTCAAATCAAATCCTAACATTAAAAAAAGAAATGAGAAAACAATAATTCAATATAGTTTTAATATTTATTAATGAGAAATTAATTAATGAGCGAAAAAACTCCCCAGAAAACCTAAAAATTGAAATACAACATGTTAGGCTCAATTTACAGAACTTTAATTCAAGTTGAAGGATTGGTACCTTAGTCGTGTGAAAATTTTGAGTATATGTTACCTACTGTAGGTTTCTCACACATGGTGAGGGGCTCCAAGGTTTTTGACTGAGGGGTAAAAAAAAAAAGGTCTGTCCTGAGTACTCGGGAGGCTTTGAAGAGTTTTGGGTGGGAATAGGACTCCGTTACTTGGTCCACATCATACCTAGAAGTCAGACCTCATTATTGGCTTCAGTTGTGCACAGGCCATAGTATACGTGAGCTGACTGAGGCTTGGGGCTTTCTTTCTTTTTCCTATGACAGCTAGGTGAAAAGGCTGAGTGCTGACAGGACACTAAAAAGGTACAACAGCTGCCTGTTTGCTTTGGGGAACCCATTGGAGGTGGGCAGCCTATTGGCTAGGAAATAGAAGCACCAGACCGAGGAATAAAATCTAGGATGGATCAGACCAATTCTGATTGGTCAACATGGTGCAAAGAATCACTCTGATCCATCCCAAGATTTTATTCTTTGGTCTGGTGCTCCTTCCATTTCCTGACCAACTGGGTGACCACCTCCAATGGGTTCCCCAAAGCAAACAGGCAGGTTTTATACCTTTATAGCGTTCTGTCAGCACTCAGCCTTTTCACCTAGCTCTCAAAACACGAAGAAGGTATAGGAGCTGCCTGTTTGCTTTGGGGAAGCCATTGGAGGTGGGCACACTGTGAGTCAGGAAATGGAAGGAGCAGCAGACCGAGGAATAAAATCTAGGATGGATCAGACCAATTCGGATTGGTCAGCATGGCGCAGAGAATCACTCTAATCCATCCAAGATTTTATTCTTTGGTCTGGTCCTCCTTCCATTTCCTGACCAACAGGGTGCCCACCCTTAATGGGTTCCCCAAAGCAAACAGGCAATTTTTATACCTTTTTAGTGTTCTGTCAGCAGTCAGCCTTTTCCCCTAGCTCTCAAAACACGAAGAAGGTATAGGAGCTGCCTGTTTCCTTTGGGGAACCCAATGGGGGTGGGCACCCTGTTGGTCAGGAAATGAAGGAGCACCAGGACCAAAAGAATATAATCTTTATGAGTCAGTGATTTTCTGTGCCGGTGCTGACCAATCAGAATCGTTCTAATTCATCCCAGTAGTTCTGCAGAAAGAAGAGGGAGATGAACAGGTGCTTGGACCACTACACTGGCTAGGTGGGCACTGACAGCTGACTGAAGCTCAGGGTTTTCTTTCTCGTTTCTATGAGAGCTAGGTGCTGACACAACACTAAAAGCTACAAGAGCTACCTGTATGCTTCGGGGAATACATTGGGGTTGGACGCTCTGTTAGGAAACGGAAGGCCAATAAACATAATATCTTGGGTGGATCATCAATTTTCTGTGCCGTGCTGACCAATCAGAATCACTCTGATCCATCCCAGATTTAATTCTTTGGTCTGGTGCTCATTTTCATTTCCTGACCAACAGGGTGCCCACCTCCAATGGGTTCTCCAAAGCAAACATGCAACTTTTATACCTTTTTAGTGTTCTGTCAGCACTCAAAACACGAAGAAGGTATAAGAGCTGTCAGTTTGCTTTGGGGAACCCATTGGAGGTGGGCACCCTATTGGCTAGGAAATAGAAGGAGCACTAAACCGAGGAATAAAATCTAGGATGGATCAGACCAATTCTGATTGGTCAGCCTTGGGCAGAGAATCACTCTGATCACAGATTTAATTCTTTGGTCTGGTGCTCCTTCCATTTCCTGACCAACTGGGTGCCCACCTCCAACGGGTTCCCCAAAACAAACAGACAGCTTGTATACCTTTTTTTGTCAGCCTTTTCCCCTAGCTCTCAAAACATGAAGGCATAGGAGCTGCCTGTTTGTTTTGGGGAACCCATTGGGGGTGGGCACCCTGTTAGTCAAGAAATGTAAGGAGCACCAGACCTAAAAAGAAAATACAGGATTGATCAGAGTGATTCTCTGTGCCAGTGATGGCCAATCAGAATTGCCTGGATCCATCCCAAAAGTGCTGCAGAAAGACTGGTGAGAAGAATGGAGATTTTAAATCCCAGGACCAATACACTGGCTGGGTGGACACTGTTCTTCATCCATGGAGGTAAGTAGAGCAGGGACCGAAAGGGTGGGGAGGGTGTTAGTTCACCTTTTCAACAGAGGGGGGTATATATGTGATGGTGGGTGGTCGATCCTTGTGTAAAAATGTTTCGGCAGATGGGTTTAACCCAAAAGGGAGTTTTCTTTAGTCGGGGTTTGCTCCTATGTGCTGCGAGAGCAGCCATTAGCCTGACACATTTAGGCCTTGTATCTGGCCTACACAGACCAAGGTCCAAGAGAGGCTGAGACTGGGGAAGCTCTGTCCTAAGTAGGAACAGACAGAGATATGCCACAAACCAGCCAGGAGGCCGAAATACATTATACTGTATCCCTAATGTTCTGTAATGAGCTTTGTACACTGCATGGGGCTGTCTGTCACCCAATGAGAATCTGAAGCCCCATCCACACTTGAGCGTCTTGTTAATGCGAAGATCGAAGCTCCAAAACGCTCAGAGAGGAAAAAAAAACAATACTACTCCATGTAGATGGTTTGCAAATGCGCACAAAAACACGCAAAAAAAATGCACAAAAACACTACACTCCGATGTGAATGGAGCTTTAGGCTTACGGGATTATCATTATTCCTGGGCATGCTTAGATCTTTGTGTTCCTAGGTCTACCTACCTACATAGCCTACTATGAGAGGGCTACTCTATGGAGATGGTCCACATCTCCATTACAAGTTGCCTGAAGCAGAACGCCTGAAGCTCAAAAACATTTTAGAGCTACTCTTGTAGCCAGGCAGATTGATGCGTTTTTATTCCCATAGAAGTAGATGGAAACGCGTTTTCATGTGCTTTTGTCGCGCAACCAAGAGCCTTTATGTGGCATGACAAAACATGGCAACAATTGGAGGTCTCTGATCAAATGTTTCTCTGTTGGCAAATACTAAAATGCAGAACTCAAAAAGCCTGAAAACGCCTGAACAAATTGCGCAGAAATGTTTGCTAACGTGCACAAAACCACACGACAAAATGCGCAAAAACGCTATGCTCAGATGTGAATGGAGCCTTGGGCTTATGGGGTGATCATGGTTTCCTGGCATGCCTAGATCTTTGTGTTCCTAGGTCTACCTACCTACATAGCCTACTATGAGAGGGCTACTCTATGGAGATGGTTCACATCTCCACTCCAAGTCGCCTGAAGTAGAATGCCTGAAGCTCAAAAATGTTTTGGAGCTACTTTTGTAGCTCCACTCAGGCAGATTGATCCGTTTATGTCGCATTTTTATTCCCATAGAAATACATGGAAATGCGTTTTCATCACGCAACCAAGAGCCTTTATCTGGCATGAAAAAACATGGCAACAATTGGTCTCTGATCAATTTTTTCTCTGTTGGTGAATACTACAATGCTAGAACTCAAAAAGCCTGAAAACACCTTAACAAATCGCGCACAAACATTTGCAAACGCGCCCAAAAACACACAACAATGCTCCGATGTGAATAGAGCCTTAGGCGTATGGGGTGATCATGGTTTCCTGGCATGCTTAGATCTTTATGTTCCTGGGTCTACCCTACCTACATAGCCTACTATGAGAGGGCTTCCACTATGGGTGGTGTATTTTTATTTTCTACTATGCAGATATAGGAAGGAATAGGGATACCGCAAAGCGGGGACAGACTGTAGTTGGCACATCCCACCGATGGAGTCTACAAGAAACAGAGGAAGCCAAGAGAAGCTTCAGCCCCATCAATCTCCATGTGAATGGAGCCTTAGGCTTATGGGGTTCTCATGGTTTCCTGGCATGCCTAGATCTTTGTGTTCCTGGGTCTACCTACCTACATAGCCTATTATGAGAGGGCTTTCACTATGGGTGGCGTATTTTTATTTTCTACTATGCAGATATAGGAAGGAATAGGGATACCAGAAAGCGGGGGGCAGACTGTAGTTGGCACATCCCACCGATGGAGTCTACAAGAAACAGAGGAAGCCAAGAGAAGCCTCAGCCCCATCAAACTCCACCTATAAATGGCAGTTCGTAATGAGATCAGATTCGACATCCCTGAGGAAGGGGGAGGCATTTAGCCCGAAACGGGTTGGCTTTACTTGATGCTCTGAACGAATAAACTTTTCTAAGCCCTGAGTGCTTAGAAGTTGCTCCTCAATACCCATCCCTATAAATTAAATATGACAACTGGGAGGGGGGAGTATACTGGCAAAATTGATGTGTACTAAACAGTTCCACCAGTTGAAAACCATCCTACAGTTTTCAAAAGAATCCTTCTTTTATCTGTAGTTTGAACATAGCAAAGACGTTCCATGATGTGTCTTCTCTGGTGTTTAAGTGAAGGATTTCCCACACACACAATATGAATAACCATGCTCACTTGTTTGAATCCACTTGTAACCAAGAAAATTTATTTTGTCATTGAAACATTTCTCACATTCTAGACATAAACAAAGAAGCTCATATGTGACTTCTCTGGTGTGTAAGAAGGGTGATTTTCTGTGTAAAACATTTCCCGCACTCCGAACAAGAAAAAGGCTGCTCGCCCGTGTGACTTCTCTGGTGTATAATAAGTTTTCTCTTTTGATGAAACATTTTGCCACACTCCAGGCATGGAAAAGGACGTTCACCCGTGTGAATTCTTTGGTGGACAATAAGATCTCCTCTCTGAGTGAAACGTTTCCCACACTCTGAACACGAATAAGGTCGCTCCCCTGTGTGAATTCTCTGGTGTTCAATAAGCGCTCCTTTCTGAGCAAAACATTTCCCGCACTCTGAACATGGATAAGGACGTTCACCCGTGTGAATTCGCTGGTGCTTAACAAGCTCTCCTTTTCGAATGAAGCATTTTCCACACTCAGAACACGAAAAAGGGCGCTCGCCGGTGTGGATCCTCTGATGTACCATCAGCGCTCCTTTCTGAGTGAAACATTTCCCACACTCTGAACAGGAAAACGGACGCTCGCCGGTGTGAGTTCTCAGGTGTTGAATGAGGTTTCGGTTCTCAGCGAAAGATTTTCCACACATCAAACAGGACAATAAGCCCTCTCCTTTGTGAACACCCTTCTGGCTTAAAGAAGAGTTCTGGGGATCAGATGGATCTGTTGATTTGTCTGTACTGGGAGAAGGTAGATGTACATCTGAGGTCATAGCGTGTGGTTTGTCGGAAGATTCCTCAGGATTAGAAGGAACTGATCTTACCAACCAGAAAGAATTTACTTTTGGAAAATATTGTGAAATGTCACCATGTGCTGCATTGCAATGCGGGGATAAAATGAGATGTCCCTCCAATGTATTTATACTCCAAAAATGCTGCCCATCTGTTGGAGAGAAAATTAAATATATGTTATTTTTGGCCAATGAATTTGGTGCAACCATAACAGTAAATTACGAATACAAACCAGATCCGAGATACACAACACCCAAACCATACTGGCAACATTATTTACACAATGATATATTGAGGAATGGAGATGGACCTTTCATATGGTGTCCAGTATCTCCTCCATCGTTATATTTGTTGGGAACATGACGTTATATTGAGGAATGGAGATGGACCTTTCATATGGTGTCCAGTATCTCCTCCTCATTTGTTGGGACATGACGTTATATTGAGGAATGGAGATGGACCTTTCATATGGTGTACAGTATCTCCTCCTCATTGTGTTGGGAACATGACGTTATATTGAGGAATGGAGATGGACCTTCCATATGGTGTCCAGTATCTCCTCCTCATTTGTTGGGAACATGACGTTATATTGAGGAATGGAGATGGACCTTTCATATGGTGTCCAGTATCTCCTCCTCATTTGTTGGGAACATGACGTTATATTGAGGAATGGAGATGGACCTTTCATATGGTGTCCAGTATCTCCTCCTCATTTGTTGGGTACAACATGACGTTATATTGAGGAACATGACGTATCTTGGAATGGAGATGGACCTTCCCATGGTGTCCAGTATCTCCTCCTCATTTGTTGGGAGATGGGAATGGACCTTTCATATGGTGTCCAGTATCTCCTCCTCATTTTGTTGGAGGGAACATGACGTTATATTGAGGAATGGAGATGGACCTTTCATCTGGTGTCCAGTATCTCCTCCTCATTTGTTGGGAACATTTTTATTGAGGAATGGAGATGGACCTTTCGGTTTCCAGTTTTGTTGAGGCAACACTGTCCTGCAGCAGGCCACTTTCTATTAAAATCTCATTAAAAATGAAGAGACCGCAGAGGATACAACAGTCTCTGGTGATGTGAAGATCTATTAATTGTGTAACAGCTTTGCCTAAGCTAAAAACCTTATACTCAGACGTAAAATTAAATCATGAACTATTTCTTCCACAGTGTTTGTACTTACGTGGGTCAATATGTAGAGAATTTCCATCCTGTTCATCCTTGCCAACCTCCTCTCTGGACGGCTGATCACCACCCACATACGTCTCTATTTCTTCTTGCTTAATTTCAGCTTTTAAATTAATTTGTTCTTCACCCTAAACCCCCCCAAAAAATAGAAACCTTATATTAAAGCTGAACTCCAGGCAAATACAAAAGAGGCAAATGGATGCAGTGCTGCATTCATTAATACATCATTAAATATGTTTTTAATACAAGTGGTGTAAGTACCTGAATGTGACCTGGTAACAGCCTCTTGTCCCTGTACAGCATAGCTCAGACTGGGGAAGGGAGAAGCAGCACCAGGATCCAATCAGCCATGATGCTGTGCTAACAAAGGACATGCTGATAGAAGGAAATAGCAGAGTGAAATAGAGATGAGCTCATCAATCTGCTTGCTCCCCTTTTACTGTCCGGTCCCAGGAGGAACAAGACTGGTAAGTGTTAATGACCTGCAGCAGAGAAATATCCTGCTCATTTCTGAGGAATTCTCATTCCCATTGCTAGTGGACCTAGGGACCGACAACTCTAATCACAACCCCCCCCCCCCCCACCCCAGCCTGTGGGGATGCATTATCAAGCTGGCCTGGACTAACAGGAGGAAAGAGCACCATTCCGTTCAGCATGCATCCGCCATTGGAGAAATACATAGAAGAAGAGGACGCGTAACGTTGTGTGATCAGACACAAGACCCACAGAAGAAAGGTACTAATTTTTTAAAGAATAAAACTGAAGGGTGCTCCAAAAGAGGACCAGAAACAACGGGGGCAGCTAAGACTCCAGTTCAGACGTAGAAATCGACATTAGAATAAACGACTACAAAGAAGAATGTCCCAGAATCTCTTCTGTGTGCTATACACCAAGTCCACGTACCTGATGATGGTGAGGGATGGTGTGATCTTCCTGTGTGGAATCCAGGGAATACAGAGGACGGGGACATCTCTCTGGTGGGTTTGTGTAACTGAATGGCTCCATTGTGATGTCCTTCAAGGTGTTTCTGTGTCTTGAAAACTCCTCCATCACGCCAACCTCATCCTTCTCTGATTTTGTCTCTTCTTTAAATCGTGGTTAAGATTATCTGATTTATACCCTGAATATTTCATAAAAGGAGATTAGCTGTAACAATATAGCTACTAAACAGCTCAAAATGTAAGTATCAGAAATTTATTATTTTCTACTTAAGTGTATATGAGATGGTTGGATCTTCCTTATAGGAACCAGACACTCACAATGATACAGTCACCGTCTAAACATTTAGGATGTATCCGGTCCATAAACCAGAGGCTCTGGATGGACGGTTGGGATAAATGGTTCTATATTTAGGACGTATCCGGTCCATAAACCAGAGGCTCTGGATGGACGGTTGGATAAATGGTTCTATATTTAGGACGTATCCGGTCTATAAACCAGAGGCTCTGGATGGACGGTTGGATAAATGGTTCTATATTTAGGACGTATCCTATAAACCAGAGGCTCTGGATGGACGGTTTGGATAAATGGTTCTATTTTTAGGATGTATCCGGTCTATAAACCAGAGGTTCTGGATGGACAGTTGGATAAATGGTTCTATATTTAGGACGTATCCGGTCTATAAACCAGAGGCTGGATGGAAGGTTGGATAAATGGTTCTATATTTAGGACGTATCCGGTCTATAAACCAGAGGCTCTGGATGGACGGTTGGATAAATGGTTCTATATTGAGGACGTATCCGGTCCATAAACCAGAGGCTCTGGATGGACGGTTGGATAAATGATTCTATTTTTAGGACGTATCCAGTCTATAAACCAGAGGCTCCGATGGACGGTTGGATAAATGGCTCCATATTTAGGACGTATCCGGTCTATAAACCAGAGGCTCTGGATGGACGGTTGGATAAATGGTTCTATATTTAGGACGTATCCGGTCTATAAACCAGAGGCTCCGGATGGACGGTTGGATAAATGGTTCTATATTTAGGACGTATCCGATCTATAAACCAGAGGCTCTGGATGGACGGTTGGATAAATGGTTCTATATTTAGGACGTATCCGATCTATAAACCAGAGGCTCTGGATGGACGGTTGGATAAATGGTTCTATTTTTAGAATGTATCCGGTCTATAAATCAGAGGTTCTGGATGGACGGTTGGATAAATGGTTCTATATTTAGGACGTATCTGGTCTATAAATCAGATGGACATCACGGTGACTATGGAGGAAGAGGACGGACATGACAGGGGGTTACTGAGTGTAAATAGAAAATAAGATCTTTTACCTCCTCTGCTGTCAGTTCCAACAACGTCTCCTACTTCCTCTGAACTCACTTTTCACCCAGAACTTCCTGTTTAAATGACATCACTTCCTGTCTGTACATTCATCACTTCCTGTATGAGAAGTGATATTGCATTGAATATATATACAGCGGTCTACGTTACGTTTCAACTGTTTACCTTCTGCTTTGCGGTCCATTCCGCCATAATGTTACATCCATGTTTTCACATGCAGAATATACCTCAAATAAAATCGAGACGATTAAAAAAAAATTAAATAAACTGAAAAATAACTATCTGATAGTGTTTTAAAATTTATACATTTTAAAACAAACTAAATATTGAAATACAACCTATTAGGCTACTTTCACACTGATCATTTTTACCATGCTTGTGGAGCACCAACAATACATCTCATATGCATTTTTTAGGCTATTTTCCAGTGTTTTCCATTGATTTTAATAGGGAGGTTCATTTTTTTTGTGTTTTCATGTTCCAAAAAGGCTGCAAGCAGGATTTTTTTACACCGCGACATAAGCCCAACACCCCAGTGCGAAAATATCCATAGAATCTAAAGAGAAGCATTTTTCTTGAGCTTCTCAGGGGCTTTTTGTGCTTCAAAAACTCCTCAGCGACCTTAGGCTCAGTTTAGAAAACTTTAAAGCCCATCTGAAAAAAACATTTTCTCATGTAGTGGAGCTGTGCCTGCACTGTACGAGTTTACAGCTCATCTTTGTCTAGGAGTGAGGAGAAAAGAGATATACTTACTTAATCTTCCAATATTTTGCACAAGACCTGTCCGGCACCCCGTGTTCCAGTATTCTTAAGTTGTGAACTGTTCCTGACATCATCAAACCCAGGGCAGGCTCCATAGGCCAGGTACAGTCCACCAATGGACCTCGAAGGAGCGCCATTTTCTCCTCACCCCTAGACAAAATGATCAGTTGTCCTGCAGCTCCACTGCATAGGAAATTACCCAGAGTTAGGATTCAACCAAAATATTAAAAAATGTATTTTAACAATTTACCCAATGGTATAGGGAGCCTTATCTCAGGGACCCCTTATCGTTAAGAAGTCTTCCAGATTCCAATAACCACCCCACCTGTAGACCCCCACAACCATCGGGCCAGGGTTGTAGGAAAGAGGCCCTTGTCCTCATGTTGAGAGCATGTGGTCTGCCTGGCTGTATGCAAAAAGACAAAGAGAGGGATGAGGTGGCAACCCTAGTTGTGACCTTGGCTATGAGCTGATCCTGGCTTGTATCCTGACTCTTTCCGATGTTCCTGGACCTCACTGACCGGA